GAAGGTGGCCCGACACCTTTCACGGTGGAGTAAGTTTGGATTTGCACAAGGCTTGTGTAACTGGGTGTGAGTTGGTGTGTTCTCCACAGGAGGCCCTTGGCTCTAGCAGCCTGCTGACCTTCTGGCCTTGCAGTAGGCTTTGTTTGTTCAGGCTTTTCCCTAGTAGCAGTCTGGCTCTTCAGGCTTGTTTCTCTTGGAGTTACTTTTTTTTGGGATATTAATTGAATGTAGGGTTTTTTCATGTTTGATTGTTTCCCATGAATGGTGCTCGCAATGTAAAGTTTACCCTGAGATTCAGAATCTGTATCTCATAAAATTAAACCCAGTGTACAGTATCTGGAAGTGTTGCTTTCAAAAAAATGAGCTGAGGTATTTTGGATCATCAGTGTTACATTGCGTGTTCACTGGAAGGACAACAATTCATAAAGAACACCTTTGCAAGCAGTTTTAAAAATCGAGATCAGACCCCTTTTTAATGCATGAAAAATCATTTTTTGATCAAAAAATGTTTAACCAGCATGACCTGCAGAGCATTCGTGTAAGTGGTAAATGAGGTTGGCTGGAAGGAAGTTGACAGTATGGGTAATTGTGTAACTGAACTAACTACTGATAGACTTGTGCATTTTAGTCACTACTTCCGCTGTCCAATTTCCCGTGTTCATCCAGGGAAAAGAAGTTGCCTCCTCTTCTAGCAGGGTAATCCCAAACAGGGTGGATTGGGGATTAGACAGACCCCTCAGTGCTGGTCCGAAACAGAAACTGGGGGGTGCCAAATTCCATTGTCTGAAGGTCTTCCCTCTTAATTTGTCTCTCGCACTCTGTGAAATTGGACAAAACACTTGGGATTTTCTGGGAAGTATCTAAGCAAAAATGTTGGATGTTAGATTAAAAAAAAAGCATAGTGAACTTGATTTGCATACGCGCTCATTTCCATGCAATTTCTGTTTCCTCTATGCAAATGTGGCCATTTTTAGAACAACTCACGCAGATGTCTGCTTGATTCTCTGTGGAAGTTCAAATGGGTCGAACTAGTAGCAGTTCCTGAACCACAGCATGAACTCCTTAAAGCAAGAACATAATGTGATGCACTTTTTCAGCAGCGTTTTACAGCTTTCAGCAGGAGTGTTTAGTGTGGAGCTTGGTTTTATACTGCATATTGGTTCTGTTCAGAATGTTGAATAGTATATGAACAACACTGTTTTGGTTTCGGTTACATAAAGGGAGGAATAAAATTTCTTTATTTGGCATGTTAACTTTTTTTGATACTTGATTCCTGAATATTTCTATTTTCTGCAAAATGAAGTAAGCTTAAGATTTTGGACTGATAACATGCTTTTCTTGTATAACTTGAATGAAACACTGATTTTTTTAACTTTTTTATTCTATTATGGTAAGAGTAGACTGGCATAATGTTCCCATAGTTATAATATGGACCCCCCAGTTTTAGTCCATGCACCAAGAGCAGCGGGGGAACAGTAGGACCGAGGGAAGGAGGGGCGAGTATGGGAACATTCTACACTTTTTTGGGAAAAGATGCAAAAGGGAGAATGTTTATTTTGTATGTAACATGTTGGAGATCTCATTATAGAAAGTGTAAGACACATAGCATTAGCCATATGCCTTTTATTGAGAAGTATTGAGAACTGTAGCTTTCATCTCTCTAAGTAAGTATCTCGTTAGGTGCTGAAGATAAAAGCTGTCCTCTTTAAGCTTCTGTGTTGATTTTATGCCAAGGGAATATTGAAGAATTGACTATGTACCTGCACTGTGAATAAGTACCTTTGACACTGAAATTGTCTAGAAGTAAAACACAGTGATTTATCATGTTTATTTATAGCTATGGAAAATACGAAACCACCGTTATTTCTATTCATTGCATTTGTACTCTTTCAGGATGTAGCAGTTTTATGTATTGGCTAAATACCAGGCCATTTCAAATGATGAGTTCAGTGTCTTAGTGTGACCCTGAAAGGCTCGGTGTGGGATCCGAACCACCAAGTCGCAGTGCGTCTCTAGTCTGCTTGTAGAGCCTGAAAACACCTTCTTTGCTTTTTCTCCTCTTGGTGCTGATTAACATGTAGATGTTTCATGATCATTTCTTAAGTTCCTCTGCAGTGTGAAATTCATGTCTAATTAGGGAAAATAATCACCAATATACTTATACAATGTGTATGGATTACCCGACTCTTGTGTTCCATCTACATTTATGTGCAGTCAGGAAAACCCCTTTAATTACACTTTCCACTGTAAGGCACCACAGCATGTAAAGCAAGGAGAAAAATATTCTCAGCGATGCATATGATATCAAAGCCTCCGAGAAAATGCCGTTTTTAATGGCTTTATTGCGTTTTGATGCATTCAATGTGAATATCGAGAGAAGTATAAAGTAGTTACAAAAGAAAGTAATCAGCTTAGAGCACTTTAATAAGGGATGCTGAAAGGCGTATGGGAATTTCTGCTCTATCTGTTTATCATGTGTTAAGAAGTGGCAATACAAAAGAATACTGGCTCTAGATCTCAAGCAGAACCATCTGCAGCAGCGACTTCCTGAAACATCTTGTGTGTCTGTTGTTTTAGTGGGTGTGAGACTCTCTGGCTCTCTATGTTTTGTCCTGCTATGTCTTGCCTGCTTTATCTGTGAGGTTTTTGTATGAACCGTATATGTCAAAACACCATGTGAATGAACTGATACCTCGTTTCTTCAGACAGGTGGAAATAAGAAATTTTGAGTGAAGAAAAAATCTTTATTCTCCAACCATTCTATATTAATACAGATTTCATACCTCAGGTATAATAGCTAAAGGAACATTTTGTTGTTGAATTAAAGGGCTCCTTCCTGTTATATCTGGGTTATTCTTTTAAGTGCTCAGGGAAGAAACCCTATTATGAATTACTGTTTGACATTAGCCTTGTATGCCACAGTTGCTGCAGTAAGGAAAAGAATGTCCTTATTTGAGTTACATGTAGGAGGGGGAGACTGTGTGACTAATAGCTAGGACTAGATAAACAGACTGAACAAATTGTATTTCTCTACATTATACTTTCCTTCTGATAACGTCCTGACATGGTTGATCAGTGTCTTTTGCAGTCTCAAGAAATAGAACATTCCTTTCAAAGCGAGGAATGCTGCAGAAAGTTACCTGTTCAGGACACTGGTATGGGTTTCCCACCCTAACCTAGCTGGTGGGGTAAGATGCGATTAGGTCAATGCAGTTCTGACTCTGGCACAGAAGGAAGGAGATGATTGAGGTGGGATTAATGAACAAGATAGAAATTCATGGGGCATTAAAAAATTAACTATCTTGTCACACACACACGTGTATAAATATAGGTGTATGTTTATATAAAAAGTGTATATAAAGATACTCAAGTGAGCTCCTAGGATAACTGTGACCATTGTATGGATATATGACTCCAGTCTGTGAACATGATCATGAGGTGCCAAGCCCTGTCCAGTTAAGAGCTGTGTTTGGCTAAGGGTAAGGGCTTAAAAATCGTCATGCCCTTTTCCAGGAGCTCCAGCTCATCCATCCTGGCCTTGAATGTCTCCTGCTGCAAACTGACCTTTTCTCTCTGCTCAGGCTCTGTTCACCTTCCTACAAATGCCTTCAAGAAAGCGCTCTTGGCTCTCCAGCTGCACCATAGTTTGCTGGTAGGAGCAGGGTAGTGCTAAAGCAGTACTTCCTCCCTGCTTTTGTGTCTGCTGAGAGCGTTATTTACGCCAATCTGTTAGGCAATTCTGCCTCGTATAGTACCTTGCATATAACAGATGCTGTCCATGATCTGAAATGGGATGTGTACGTTGTGTTTTTCACACAGCTAATGTCACTAAGGATACAGACAGGTGGTTCTGCTGTTGTACTGGAAAAAAACTAAGGACCTGTATCTGTTGATTTAGTAAATTATTAAAATGAATGGGAGTCTCAGATTTTTGCAGTAAATTATAATACATGAAAAAAGGTTTCATTGACTTAATTCTTAAATAATTTAAAAAGGCTGAGGTTAGAAAATATGATTAACTCCCACTGAGCTCTGCATTAATAGCTTTTCACTGTTCTTAACTGTGTAAGCGTTGCACTGGGGATTAACTGTAGTCTGAAGTTTGACAATCTAGGAAGGGAGAGTCAGTAAGAAAATACTCATCAGTGTTGAGTTTAGTAACAGGATGACACCAGCTTGTAGCTGCCTTTTAAACTGCCTGTGCAGCTCTCCCTTACCTTTGATCTGGTGTATTGTTGGCAGCGTATGCCTAGGGAAGTATAGCAGGACACTGCAGGAGTTAAATCTTAAACCTTCTCATTGTTCCATAACATTTTAAACTTCTTTTTTTTTCCCTTCACAGGAAATGACCTAGAGGCCTTACAAATACATTTGTGCATTTTTGTTCTGAGTCTACAATTGAGGGCAAATGCAGTCTGGAAGCACCACTTAATGTTACAACGGAAACAACTACCTCAACAAACAAGGAAAGGGGAAGAAGGCTTGCAATAATAAACACTCTAATTTTTAATAGCTTATACTTGCAAAGTCTTCTGTAAACAGAGTCCAGATTTTATTTTTCCCCCTCGAGAAAAAAGACACACTACAAGTAAACTAATTCGGCAGACTGGATCTGTCAAGACATTTGAAGATACTTGATCTGCTGACATAAGGATTTACTTTTCAAGGAAGGAGCCTGTGCACTGCTTCTGTAATCGCTGTTGATCAGTGGTTTGCTTCACTTTTCCTGATTCTACTAATGGGAAAATTGTCTTAAGGTATTGCTTCTAAAACTATTATTTGCATTGACAAAAACAACTTTTGTAGACTTAACAGCAAGTGACAGTAATATGCTCATGAAGAAATTGTAGGCGTTAACTTCTCTGTTCCAGCATCACTTTTCTGTGTGCAGAGTGGAATACCAAACAAGAGACGGAGCGTTACTGAGATACTTCGGTTTGCTTTTTGAGTACAGTTTGTAACTGCAGCAGGGCTGCACTGAACACTGAAAATACAAAGTCAGCAAATCTGCTGCCTTTCTCACTGCTGATACAGATTATACAGACGCTGCCTTTTTGAAATGCCTTTTGTGAAACCTATGTACACAGTCCTCCACTGTTACTGTACATAACTATATATTTGAGGCAGGAGTTTGACAAGTGATTGTTAATTCGAGGAAGCTTTGGACAAGCACTCACTTATGTATTGCTGTAGTGCACAAGAAAGCAAAATGGACTATAAGCGGCGCTTTTTGCTTGGCGGGTCCAAGCAAAAAGTGCAGCAACACCAGCAGTATCAAATGCCTGAGCTAGGCAGGACCCTGAGCGCACCGCTGGCATCTACAACCCCAGCATCCCCTTTGGTCTCCTCAGCTGCTGCGGGCGGCTGCAACCACCCCGTGTCCCATACTACTCCGATTGCAGACATCCAGCAGGGAATCTCCAAATATCTGGATGCACTCAACGTGTTTTGCCGTACGAGCACTTTCCTTACAGACCTTTTCAGCAGCGTATTTAGGAACTCGCACTATTCTAAGGCAGCTATGCAACTGAAAGACGTGCAGGAACATGTCATGGAAGCAGCGAGTCGACTCACAGCAGCAATAAAACCAGAAATAGCAAAAATGCTGATGGAACTGAGTGCAGGAGCTGCGAACTTTAAAGATCAAAAGGAGTTCAGCCTACAAGACATTGAGGTAAGTTACCTTGGGGGATACTGTTCTGCGTGCCACTTTGTATTGTTCCTTCCTAATTGGGCTTCTCTTCAAAATCACTTTGACGCCAGAAGTTCTCTCTGCCTTGCTTTGTGTCTGTGGGCAGTGCTGGTAAAAGGAGAAACTCTCAATTTCTTATGTTTTCTTCTTGAAAGTGCCTGACTTGCAGCTATGTTGGGTGAGGTATTGAGTAGGTATCTCTGTATAAGAGCTTGTACTCTATTTAAAGATTTAATGAAATAGGGAAGATGACTTATAACGAAATAGTATACCTATATAATTCCAGTTGATAATATTCTGCATGATTTAAACTTACAGCCAGCAATCCAACAGTTATTTGGGGAATGACTATAAGTTTAAAACCAGCAATAATGCAAACACCCCCTACTCCTCATCCTCCCCACCACCCCGAAAAAATCCCCAAACCACAACACCCGGTTCTTCCACACCAACTAAATAAAAGTTTTAAACAACTTTGCTTTATAGTAGCTAATATTTCTAACGATATTAACTGTTGTGAGGGGGAACCTGAACACTTGGGAGTGGTGTATTGTCATCAGTGTTTGTGTAAATCTGCATATTAGTTGACTAACGATCGAAATTTATGTAAAACAATGTTATACAGCTCTTCAAATCATTTTTGTCTTTTTGAGCTGTTGTGCTTAAAAGGAAAATACCACGTTAGCATGAGATCCGTGCTGTAAAATTTTGTCATGACTTTGCAATAATTGCAGTATGCTGGCAGCAAGTGCCCAGTAGTCAGAATTCAGAGGTTTTGAAGTTGAGAGGATCCCCAGCTCTCACCAGGCCTGGCTGGTATTTCTGGGTGTTTCTTCTGCAGTAAATGGCTTAATTGTGTTAAGTGATAGTCACACACAAATCCCTGGTCTTTTTAAGTAGTTCCTTGTGTTTTAACATATTTCTTTATGGCAGTCTTTGCAAAGTTGTTCCTACAGAATCGTAATTCCTGAGTGGAAAACTTTATTTTTGAGCTCTCTTATTTTTGATTTAGATTTCAGGTAACTTTAAGGGTGAATGTTACACACATGTGCCTATCAAGCATTATCTGCTTTCTGTAACTCCACAACTTAGAGATGAACTAGTAAGTAGAACACTATTTGTAGTACATAATTGGAGTGAGAAATATGACTGACAGTTTTCATTGTTGTATACTTAGTATAGAATGAAGTAAGATTGGCTGTGTATTTGTTATACATGGCTTCTGTAGGCTGGTAGTTTTGAAAACAGTCTGACAACATCACTATGTTTAGCCAAGGCTGTAGGAAAAAATACCTTCTCTTTTTTTCCTTCTTAATTTAAAAATCAGTGTGAGTTTGTGTAATTAAAGACCTTGATAGTACATGCTGAAAGACTTTTTTTTTAAATTTAAAAAGAGGCAAAAACATACACAGCACTACCCTGCCTTCTAGGGGGTTTTTTGTGGACGTCAAAACTCCCTATTGCCAAATGTTGGCAACTGTCTGTATACTGCTTTTATAAACTCGTCAAGCAATTCTAGGTGCTAATTGATACCCCGCCCCACACTCTGTGTGGGGGAGAGTGCTTCTTCAGCAGAGTGGAGTTCACCAGCAATATGCAAACAGTGCTTTGCTGAGCCGGCTGCGTGTCTTCCCAGCTTAAAGCGAAGGTAGAGAAACTTGCTTTGGTCCCTGCTTTACTTGCACAGACCTAACCCTGGTTCCTGAGCTCCACATGCACCTACAGTGCTCTCCTCACCAGGCAGCCCTGTGGTGGGAACTGATGGAAAAGAGGATGGATTGCTTGGTTTTCTCTCTGGGCATCCCTTGTGGAACCACTTGACATCGTACTCTTCTTATACCTGTTCTTAATTAAAACTGCATCTTTCACATTGCTCTAAAAAAAGTCAATATGCAAGATTTATGGGAACTTTTGTGTAATGAGTCACAGGTTGCATTCCGCTTTTTTAAGAACCAGCGAAATGTAAGGATTTGACACCGACTCACATGATGGTTTTGTAAGTCAGCCAGGGAGCATGGTTTAGATGGCTGAAGTGTACGGGCAAGCTGGTCGGATGATTGTGCCCAGGGAGCTCGGTTGCTCACTGTCAAAATGCGCCTTGGCAGAGGTCAGCGCAGAGTGTGGATTGAAGTTTGTAGGTGACTTGAAAGTACGTGATGTGAGTATGCTGGAAGACCTGCTGAATTAAAAAGTCTTGAACTGAACAAATGAGTCTTCCAGATGGGATGGAATTCAGAGGGGAAAACTGTTGCAATATTGAAGTAGAAATTTTCAGCCCCGCAGGTGGAGCCCACTGGGCAGCAGTCCTGCAGTGCTAGGGCTGACGGTAGTTGTAGGTTGGGCAGGAGTCAGTGTTGTTGCTGTTGTGCAAAGAGGCAGTTGTCATGTATTTACCGTGACTATAACCTGCAGGAGCCATGAAATGAGCATTCAGCTCTCTCCACTTTGGTTATTAAGGCCTTAAATACAACAGTGCCCCCACGCACCGCTGCAGTTGCACTTAGTGAGCAACTGGAGACACACCAGAGGAGAGTAGCAGGAGTTTTCAGGCATCCAGGCAGTAGGACTTCAGAGGAGAAACTGGGAAGACTGACTCTACAGAAGAGAAGACTAAGAAGGAAAATCAGAATCGTTGAGGCATGTAAGAGGCTGCCAGAAGACGTGGCAGTGTCCTGTTCTTCACGTCAACGTAAGGTGTGGCAAGAAGTGATGAACGTACACTTCAGAAGGAAAGATTCGTATTAGATGTAGTGGAAATACTTTGTAATGTTTTTTTGAGGCACTGATGTGGGTTGCTACAAAGGGTAGGGAGCCTCCATCACGAAGAACTTACAGAACAGGTCAAACCTGCAATGGCCAAACTGACCCAGGTGAAATTGCTCCTTGCTTGGGACAGGAGGGTGACCTTTTGAGAGCCTCTCCTACTCTGCTTTCCTGGGATTTGAAGACTGGCCTATTTATGCTGAAATTTTAATTTTAAGAAGTGTGGGGTTTTTTTCCCCCTGATCTATAGAAAAGTTAACTTTTCATAAAACTACCAGCAGGATTAAAAAACCCAGTGAAAGCAGAAAACTATAAAGGGCATGCCTGACTTCAGAGTCCACTGACCAGGGGAAACGAGGGGAAGAACCTGAGAGGCAGAGTGTTTTTCCTTGGAAAATATAAGGGGGGAATAGTAATATTTGAAGCTGCTTTTGCAGCTTCTCAAGTAGATGGCAGAAAAAACTTACAACGCTGAGAAAGGCTTGAGAGATGGTGGCATGTGTGAGTGGCAGCTCTGCAGTGTTCCATGAAGAGGTACTCCAGAGTCCTTGTTGGAGGGATGGAGTGTGGGATTGCAGAAGGAGCAGGAGGTGAGTTCTAACTCATGGTGGGCTGGGAGGGCAGAACCCCAAATCCATGAGAAGGACATGAGAATGAGGCTTTTTCCATGCATCAGCCCAGGTAAGGAAAATGTACATTTCCTAAGCCTTCCTCAAGAAAGGCTGTATGTTTTGAGGAATAATGAGAAATCTAAGCAGAGCAGGCTTGGCTTTAGAAATTTAGGAGAGTGCTGTAGGTTGTCTGAGGAGCCACACATCTCTGTCTAGTGTAGTGGGCTGTACCCGCCAGGGAAGGCAATATCAAGGAAACTTCAGGTTCTCATGAACACACACTGACGGATTTGGACTAAAAAAGGTTGTGCAACCTGCAGTGTAGGAGCAGTGGAAGAGGCTTCTGCCTTTCTTATAGTTCTTTAGCAGAACAGAGCTTGCTAGTTCAGCGCTGTCTGCCGAGATGTGTCAGAAGGTGACTTCTCTTGTTCAAAGTGTTGGTGACACATGGAGTTTCCCAAGGTTTCTTTGTTTCAGAAATGCAAATACTGACTCTTTTTTTTTCTGCCTTTCCTTTTCCCCTTTCAAAAAACTTTGAATTCTCAGGTGCTCTGTGCCTGTGTGGGTGAGGAACAGTGTGAAACTTAAGGGAAACAAGCATGTGTGTTCTGTTAAATTTTCCAGATCTGTTGTTAAAATTTTGTAAGCTGGAAGAACGCAGCAAAACTGTACTGCTGTTAATAAAATCATTAAAGGAAATCGGGGCGGGGGGATTTAAAACTGGAAAAAAGTTTGTATATTTTCTCATCTTTTGTGAAGCTTTGCAGCAGCTGCAGTACTGCAAAATAGAAAAAAGTAATTTTGTTTCAGTTTCATGGAACTTACCTATTGTTTTAGAAGTGTTAGTAATGAGAGATGTACATGTTGCCTTCCTAAATGAAAGGGACGCACGAATAGGCACAGAATATTTACTTGGATCCTCTGTTTTGTATTAAATGGAGATAATTTTTGACTTTTATGTGTATAAAATAACCGAAGATTTTTGAACAAGAAGCTTGTGGGACAAAAATGTCTGAGTAAATACAAAATGTAGGCTTTCCTTAGCAAACACTGAAGTCCAATTTAAACTTTTTTTTTTTAATTATTATCTTTTCTGTGATTTGCAGGGATTGGCTTCAGACTTTAAGGACTTGAGGAATTGTTAGTAGCAAAAAGCTGCTTCGGATCAGTAGAAAATGCTATGGCTTGCTGGAATGACATCGTACTCTTGTCTCAGTCTGCTCTCTGATCAGTCAGCATTGTCTTAAGAAGTATTTTGTATTACATTTTAATTGGTGCTTTCTATTTTTAAAATACTTAACGCTTCAGTGCTTTTTTGCTAAATTATAGTTAGTATTTTGATAGCAACAGCTATTAGTTTCTCACTACTGGGCTTTTAGGTTGACTGTTGGCAAAAATGAGTCTGTTAGGCTGCCGGTGGCTCTGAAAACTGTAGGTGTAAAGGTGTAACTGCCACTGGAATCTAGTTTGTCATGTGGGTAACCCTTTTTCAGTGAGCCAGGATCGTGTCCTCCCTTGGAGGTGTTCTGGTCATGAGAGCACTCTTCCGAAGTGCAGGGCAGTGCTCCATAGTAAAAGTGAATAATATTCTGCCCACCTTCAGTAATGTGTGGGGAAGGGGGGTATCTCATCATCTGGTACCCCAGTCTGAGTTGTACCTCGCTGTTAACTTCATTATATTGCTGGTCTCTTCAGGGTAGGCAGGTTGTGCGTAGGGCTTATTGTTACCATTTAGAATTCTGTTGAGGGAAATGAGGGTAGTAGGAAACCACTGACTAAGTGTGTTGTGGTGTTTGGGAGTTTGAGGGGGTTTTTTTGTTGTTGTTGTTTAGGAAATAGCAAAAAAAAATTCTACATAAAATGGTACTTGGAACTGCAGGTCAGTGTTTCTATCAAGTTTGGAAGACTGACACTGGTTATTGGCTAACTTTCTTAGTGGTAGTGTTCTGTTTTAAAAGAATCTGTTGTGTAAGGTTTGCTTGCCAGGGGATTTGCGTGGCATCACTGTTCAGCAATGAAATCTGGCGATTTCATGCGTGCACTTTGGCCAGCAAGATACTCCAAAATTGATTGAGTGCCCCCCTTAGGAGGCTAATATGGGACAGAGTAACCTAACACTGCATCTCCACCTGATGCTCCTGGTTGTGTGTAACCAGTTGGATTAAACTCGTCACCTGTTTCAGAGACAAGGAAGTCTGAAGTGAGACCTCCCCTAGAAGTCCCATTGCTTCCAACTGCTAAGCAGGGAGGCAGATTCCCTTAGGTAAGGTTATTTAGCTGCTGAGATAAGATAGCTGTCCTGCTGGGTAACAGCTTAGGAAAGCCAAGGAGCTAGCCTTGTATTTTTGGGGACAAAAGGTTTGCAAGCTGAAGACTCATTGTATGTGTAATGTGATTCTAAGAAATTGATTAAGAAAACACCACACTACCAAGAAAAACTAACTGGTTGACACCTGCGGTGATTCCAGTTCATCTTTGATTACTACACAGTCTCTAGTTTTAATTTGTTCTTACTATGGTCTAATGCAGGAGAGCCAAACACTTCTGCATGGGGAAAGTAAGGAGAGAGAAACTCAGAAGAGAGGTGGTGGTGTCTCTGACTGAAAAACGGCATCCATAGGTTAATGTTGTTCTGCCTATTTCACAACAGAGATTTATTATGTTGCTTTACACACTTGGGTAGCTGCTGGCCGGCCCTGGCTGTAGCTGCTAAGCTGGTGGCGGTTGTACTTCTTTCCCACAGTTCAGCTCTTTGGAAGAAGATCCTCAAGAAGTGAACTTTAAAGCAAAGTGACTTTGGCATCTGCAGTGAGAGTTTCACAGTGCAAAAGTCCTCCACCACTTGGATTTTATTTAAGTAGTTAAAACCGTCCTTACCCATTTCTGAGGAAGACTGAAATAGATTATTTTTCAAACAAAATAGAAGCTCAGTAAAGCAGATGTTACTATTTACTGTTTAACATTGTAAATTGTGCTAGGAATGTTGTGTGCTGCCACTTAATCATTTGTTTATTTTGAGCATTATTCCCAGGCAGGGGAAACTTTGACTTCTGTACCTTGAATGTTTTCTGAAACTTAATCGGCTTGAAACTCCTAGTGAGTCCTAGCTGCTTCTTCCCCCGAGGGCTGTGCTCATAGACCACTGGCCATCTGAGCATTGCTGTCTTTTCCCCCAGTTTTCTTACACATCTTCCTAATCTTGTAGTCAGGAAAGTTGGAGTTTTATTCATTTCATCTTTTGCTGATTGCTCTTTCAATATGGCAAACTCCACTTTCAGAGGTCAGTCAAAGTACCAAAAATGTTTAATTTCATGCCTTGTACAAAGAAGGGAAGTGATTGAACCAGAATGGAATGTCAAAAGGAGTCCGGATGCAGTGGAAAAAAGCATTGCCACCACTGGTTCTTCTGAAGTAGATAGTTAATGCATATAACTGTTCCTGTGACTACAGAGCCTTGCCAGTAAGATCATTGTGTCTGAATATTTTTGTTCCAGAAGAATGTAGCTGAGAATAAGCCAGATGATTTATTTGCTCCAAGGCACGACGGCTTTGTACATTATCTGTGTATTTTATGAATTATTCCTAAAATGGAATTCAAGTTGAGTCTTTTTTAATAAATCAATGTCAAATATACATTTTAAACCACTTTGTGTGACAAACTCTGTAAAAGAAACAAAACACTTTGAATAGCTTTTAAATACTTTCTATGGTAATTTGGAAAATACTTGCTTCTCTGCTGCATTCTGGTTACGCTGTGTTGGAAGCTTTCGTCTGCCTTGGAGGGCACGGCCCTGAGGGCAGACGGAGCGCTCCTGCGCGTGCTGCCTTGCTCCCCAGGTTGTCCCGGGTGGGCCCGCTCCTGTCACGCTTCACATGTGGTGGCTGCACCCAAATGCTCCCTTCGTGAGACCTGTTCGGTTTCGCTTGTGGTAACTGAGGCAGATGTCTGTCTTCGGCCGCAGTCCTCACTGGCGTCGGTATGAGAGCGGGAGATAAATGGGGGGTGGAAGCTGGGGGAGCAGGGGTGCAGGGTGCGGAGCCCAGCTCCGCCTGGCAGAGGTGAGCACCCTTCCCCGGCACGATGCTGGCGCTGCAGTCAGCCCCGTGAGTACGGGGAGGGACTGGCAGCCCTTCGCTTCCCTGCCTTGCCGAGGGAGGATTACGTGACCCATTTCAGTGAAATACTCCGAAGGGAAGATTTGTGCCAGTGTTAGCAGTTCCTGTCGAACAATGCAAGTGACAGGGCTGCAACTCTGTGTGCGATCTGCATCATGTTCTAACCTGGCACTGTGGTGCCGCACTAGTGTATGGCAGAATGTTTTTGATGCTCATTGCTGGTTGTTTCTCTGCTTGGAAGATAAGCTGCGGGATTAAACGCTCCTGATTTTTATGATCATGTTCTCAAATGATTCAGATTCTCCTTGGTTTGGGTGTTTTAGCGTACGTTCAGCTAGGTCTGTGTGCAGGTGCGTTTTGCTCCTGTCTTTGTCCTTGTGATAATATGCTACTCCCAGTTTTGTGTTGTTTCCTGTGCTCAAAATCGCTAAGTAACTTAACAAGCTTTTAATTATTCAAATAACTAACTTCAGTGCAGAAGTAAAAACTGCATGGGACCAGCCTAATCTCCCTTTAATTCATAGAAACCAGTGCCCACTCTCTGTTTACTGTAAGTAAATGGTTAAATCTCGTGTTACCTATGATCTGAAGCGTTATTTTAATGAAAAAAAAAGTCTTGAGTTTACTTACCCCAAACACTGAACAAAAAGGAAGAAGGGAAACTTGTGTGGAATCTCCTATTTGCTTGCAACTGGCTTGTTTCTTCTCCCGCAGGTACTTGGGCGGTGTTTCTTGACGGTGATGCAGGTCCACTTTCAGTTCCTGTCACAAGCTCTGCAGAAGGTCCAGCCAGTGGCACACTCTTGCTTTGCTGAAGCTGTAGCTCAGGAGAGAAAGAATGTTAGTGGGGCTGGAGCCTCAAATTTAAGCCCCACCAGTGAGCTAGAAGATGCAATAAGATCATGGAGAGGAGCAGCAGAGGTACGGATGTCTTGCTGTAGTGACATTATATGTAGTGAAACCTGAATTCAAACTGGGTGCCTGAATAAAGTCTCTGGTTTTAAAGACATGGTGCAGTTAGTTTCACATGCTAAAACGTGTTGTACCTGTATGGCAAAACATCTTTGCCATGTGCGTTGTTTTCTTTGTGATGTGATTGTATGTAAGGGGTGCACAAAGAGTGGAAATGGCTTTTTGTTATTAGTAATGAATTAACAATGCTCAAATGTGGTTTGGCAGGGGGAACTTACAAGTAAAACAACAACATACAACAAGTCTTCACGAAACCAGCAAAATCTTGATGAAAAATAGTTTATGTCAGTTTCTCTTAAATTTTGAGCGTGAATTCTATTTTTTCCTTTACAGTAACCTTTAACGCTTTTGTCTTCATGCTGTTAAGCTTGATGGTGCTAGACCCATCCGTCGTTGGAATTTTAATGGTATTACTTACACCGCTTTCTGGACCTGCGGTTTCACAAACACTTGCCATCTGTGGAAGCCTTATTTTTCCTG